ATATATATGTATGTGTGTGTATATATATATATATGTGTGTGTGTATATATATATATATATATATATATATATATATATGTGTGTGTATATATATATGTATATATATAAACACTCGGTATATATACGTGTGTGTGTGTATGTGTATATATATATGTATATATCGGGTACTGGTATTCTTTATATGTGGATAATGCTGTGTGTGTGGTCTTTGGCTTGACTAATGCGACAAGTTTTCCTAACATTAATAGGGACTTACATGTGTGTGCTTGTCATCTGTGTGTGAGTGTATCCCATGTGTGCTTCCATGTCCTTTCAGGCCGCTGAAGACTTCTTGTCTCTTTTCATCTGCAGTTCTTGCTTTCATCACACATTCTTGCACTTTCCTTAACGTTCAGTGCTTCCAGACTTACAGATCTACGCTGTAACCCCCATCCCGGAGAGTCAGGATGTGCTGCAGAGAGACGGCGTGCCTGACAACATCAAAAGCTTCTACAAGTTCAATCACATCTGGAGGTTCAGATATGACCGGCCCTTTCACAAGGGCACCAAAGACAAGGAGAATGAGTTCAAGGTACGTGGGTTGGGGGAACTCACTAGACAGACAGATGAGTTTAGACAGACACATGAAGCACAGCTTGAAGACCCATCCACACATGTACAGGAGACATTTGTCTCCATCTATAGAAGTTCATCCTTTCTTTCATTCCTCCAAAATTGTTATTAAAATAAACTTTTAATAAATGAACAGTTTGTAGAGTAGCTGCAAAATGCCATGCTCTAAATTATTTCAGAAGTTAAAATTATACATTTAGAATCATTAGCATTTGTTCACTGCAGACTGACATCTCTGCCTTTTTCATGTACTGTAGACCTGTGCAGACAGTGATAGTTTGAAACTGTGCTAAAGTATTAGTGTGTGTTTAGTGAAGGTTTTATTCATCATGACTCTTGTGTCACTTATTATATGCAGAAACTCTGGTTCTAATCTGTGCTATGTACTTCCATCCATTCATTCATTATCTATACCGCTTATCTTAACGAGGGTCATGGGGGGTCTGGAGCTAATACCAGTTGTCATTGGGCAAGAGGCGGGATACACCCTGGACAGTTCGCCAGTCTACCACAAGGCTGACACTTAAAGACGGACAACCACACTCACTCCTACGGGCAAGTTAGAGTTGCCAATCAACCTAAGATGAATTTCTTTGGATTGTGGGAGGAAGCATAGGGAGAACCTTCAAACTCCACACAGAAAGACACCAAGTCGGCCAGCACTCAAACCCGGAACCTTCTTCTTATGAGGCGACAGCACTAATTTGTGCTATGTACAGCTCAGTACAAATTAACTCTTCATAGCTCCACACTTGCAAACTCACACAGCTGCACAGACACTCAAAACACATATACCACAGAGACCCTTTAAAATATTCAGTATTAATACAACCACATGCTCCACACAGTCATTCCATCTCAGTTCCATTAAGGCTACTTGGCCAGTTTTAATGATATCTATCAGGGCTGGATATCCCTGGTTCTTAGTTGGGAATAACATGGATCATAAAGTTTCATGTGGTGACAGTAGTCTGCAGCAGCCAGAATATGATATGATCTACCCTAATAAAGTAGTCCAAAATTCAAGAAGTTTCCATCAGTAGAAAAAAGTTTTTCAGAAAGGTCAGCACTTTTATATTTGTCATTTTCATTTCATCTTCCCGCTCTTAAATGTAATACGTTTTTTTTCCATGTGGTGTTCAGGTGGGTTTCTTGTCCTTCAAAAGCATAAAATCAATAAAGGGCAGCAGAGCTGTGTGGTGAAACGGAAGATCCTTCTTTGCCCTAAGAACAGTGGATCAATACAGTACAAGTTGTCAGCACTCATCTAATCTACTGGAGTGTCCTTGAGCAAGACACTAGATTCTAAACTTGAATATGGATGGAATGATGTGACTTTTTCTTGGTACAGTTCAATTTAATTAAGACTGAGATCAGGAATTAAGACTACAACTGACTGTTAAACCTAAAATGATTATTTGATAAACAGAAAATTTATTCAACCACTAGTTAATTGTTTATCCTTTTTCAGTTGCTGTTCCAGCTTCTCAGTTATGAGGATTTGCTGCATTTCTTTGTGTTGACTGTTGGATGAACAAAATAAGTAAATTGATGACACGATGGGCTTGAGTAAATCATTTTTCACAGTTTTTTGATACTGAATAGATCAAACGATTCATTAATCATTCGTTAATTGGCATGATTTGCACATAATGAAAGTAGTCGTACATTTCATTCAGTTGAATATTTTTCATATTGAGTATGAATTCTTTGTTGGCCTTTTGAAAGTAATTTGACAAAGAAAAAGCTTGTAGATGGGTGTTTGCAGCAGGTTTTTGTCACATTGTATTTAGTGCAATCAATGGATCTGTCAGTATCACAGTTTCTGTAGCGTACAATAGCAGGTTTTAAATAGCTTGATTTGTCCTACCAACCATTTTCAAAGATGTTCAGTTTATGAAGATGGTAAACAGAGCAGCATATTCTCACATTTGAGAAGCTGGAACAAGGGAATGTTTTGAAGCTGAAACAATTAATCAAATTGTGTTGATTGCTTAGGTAAAACACTCCCTTGTTCCAGTTGTAAGGACATGCTGCTTTTATTTGCTGTGAAGATCTTCAGGACTTTGTTGGTTGGATAAAACATGGGTCACTTTGGGCCTGGGGAAATTGCTATGGATGTTTTTATGCCTCTGCATCAGTGACAGGTGTGGTGTGAGGCAGTTTGTTTTCGGGTTGTTTGCCCCATGCTCATGAACACAATATCTCAGGAAGGAGATATTGAGGGAGTTTCTTCAGATTTGGCACAAACGTCCAACTTGGACTTGAGGACACTGTGACAAAGCTCTTTATCACTCTGTTGTGGGTAAAATCAATGCACAAAATTACTGCAGTCCCAAGAATCATTTATTGTGTGGATCCAGTAATGCATCCACACTATTGTTATCCTATGTCAAGGTCCAAGGTCAAAGTGTTTATTCGTCAGTTAGGAAACATGTTTCCCTGTACAGTGAAATTCTTACTTTGCCGTCTACATGAATGCCACACAATACAAATGAAATATAAAGTAGATGAATAAGTAACAAAAATCTAAGGCACTTTAAGCAGCAAATGCAGAGATATAACAAAATATATAAGAATATAATAAGAGAATGTATACTACATAGAAGCAGCATGTGCAGTAGTCAACAGTTAATGTGCAATTACAGTGGTGTGAAAAAGTGTTTGCCCCCTTACTGATTTCTTATCTTTTTGCATGTTTGTCACACTGTAATGTTTCAGATCGTCAAACAAATTTATATATTAGTCAAAGATAACACAAGTAAACACATCATGCAGTTTTTAAATGAAGGTTTTTATTATTAAGGGAAAACAAAATCCAAAACTATAGAGCCCTGTGTGAACAAGTGTTTGCCCCCCTGTCAAAACACTGGTTTATCGCACCTGAGTTCAATTTCTCTTGCCACACCTGTTCGCAATCAAGAAATCACTTAAATAGGACCTGCCTGACAAAGTGAAGTAGACCAAAAGATCCTCAAAAGCTAGACATCATGCCGAGATCCAAAGAAATTCAAAAACAAATGAGAAAGAGAATAATGGAGCTCTATCAGTCCGGAAAAGGTTATAAAGCCATTTCTAAAGCTTGGGGACTGCAGCGAACCACAGTGAGAGCCATTATCCACAAATGGCGAAAACATGGAACAGTGGAGAACCTTCCCAGGAGTGGCCAGCCGACCAAAATTACCCCAAGAGCGCAGCGACAACTCATCCAAGAGGTCACAAAAGACCCCACAACAACATCCAAAGAACTGCAGGCCTCACTTGCCTCAGTTAAGCTGAGTGTTCATGACTCCACCATAAGAAAGAGACTGGGCAAAAATGGTTTGCATGGCAGAGTTCCAAGACGAAAACCACTGCTGAGCAAAAAGAACATAAAGGCTCGTCTCAGTTTTGCCAGAAAACATCTTGATGATCCCCAAGACTTTTGGGATAATACTCTGTGGACAGACGAGACAAAAGTTGAACTTTTTGGAAGGTGTGTGTCCCATTATGTGTGGCGTAAAAGTAACACCGCATTTCAGAAAAAGAACATCATACCAACAGTAAAATATGGTGGTGGTAGTGGGATGGTCTGGGGCTGTTTTGCTGCTTCAGGCCCTGGAAGACTTGCTGTGATAAATGGAACCATGAATTCTGCTGTGTACCAAAATATCCTGAAGGAGAATGTCCGGCCATCCGTTTGTGACCTCAAGCTGAAGCGAACTTGGGTTCTGCAGCAGGACAATGATCCAAAGCACACCAGCAAGTCCACTTCTGAATGGCTGAAGAAAAACAAAATGAAGACTTTGGAGTGGCCTAGTCAAAGTCCTGACCTGAATCCAATTGAGATGCTGTGGCATGACCTTAAAAAGGCAGTTCATGCCCGAAAACCCTCCAATGTGGCTGACTTACAACAATTCTGCAAAGATGAGTGGGCCAAAATTCCTCCACAGCGCTGTAAAAGACTCATGGCAAGTTATCGAAAACGCTTGATTGCAGTTGTTGCTGCTAAGGGTGGCCCAACCAGTTATTAGGTTTAGGGGGCAAACACTTATTCACACAGGGCTTTGTAGTTTTGGATTTTGTTTTCCCTTAATAATAAAAACCTTCATTTAAAAACTGCATGATGTGTTTACTTGTGTTATCGTTGACTAATATTTAAATTTGTTTGATGATCTGAAACATTACAGTATGACAAACATGCAAAAAGATAAGAAATCAGTAAGGGGGCAAACACGTTTTCACACCACTGTAAGTTTAAGGAAGGGTGGGAAAGTTTAACGAGAACTCTGTTGCTGGAATGTGAAAACAATGACTGCAGGTAGAAACATGATCAGGGAAACTCTACCTTTGTCATCAAAACACCTGCTATAACATGAGGTCATGTATTTTGAAGCAGTTTACTGCATGATTATCTAAAATATTTTTGGGATCAGAGATCTCAGCTTGGCTGAAAGAAACAGAGAGGGATATGGAGTTTTGTTGTCAACACTTCAAAATTCCATCAGTGTGGAAAAGACACATCTCCCACTGTACACTGAAGGTTTCAGTTTGGATCTGACCTACTGATTATGTGTATCTTTGTCCTGCTACGTTGTTTTTGTCATGTCAGATCAATGTGGCTCCCATTAACTTTAGTCTCCACATTGCTATTTCCATTTACACCCACTGTCTGTCATCTGCTAACACATTTGAACATGGAAGCCTGTGAGCACTCCTCTTACAGCAAATGATTAAACCCAATCAAACCCTCGTTCTGGGAGGATGACACCATGGGGGGAAATGTTAATATGGGTTATATTAGTAAAGCTGTGGGTAGTTTTGAACCTATAAATCTGAATTCAGGAAGGACAGACAGTGATGGGTTGTTCTAAGGGAGGGTTCTGCAGGCAATCTTGTGTTGACCTATCAATACATGTTTGGGAGGTGCTGCCCAGCAAAATTTCTCCTGCTGATTTTTATGTTTTTGTACTCATGTCT